TTCTTAAAGATCTCCTCGGCATCAGCTCCCTGCCGTCAATATATATTTCACTATCACTATCATCTATCACGCGGCGATGGTCACGACTGTCACACTGTCACTTATCTATTTTTAGGTTACCGCTGTATTCCTATCATAGATCGGTCTTTTTTAACAGCTTCATGCGTCTGTGATTGAGAAAGAAATCTGATAAGCTCTGTATACCAGCTCAATATAATGCAACATATATACGAATATGTATATACATTTTAGATAAAAAACAGGTCAGTAAACTTTTATAAAACAATACTCTTTGAAATAATACAAGCAATAATAATTTTTATAATTACCTCTCTATATATCTTAATCTCTGCATGAATTTTCTTCTAACTATATTTGTAATGTCATCAACTTTTCACGCTTGTTGAATATTTGCATCATGAGCACCAATAGCTAATCCCATCAGATCTTCTCGAACATTAAATTCATCGGTATATCTAAAATAAGGCAAATTTTACATAATGCAAAAACAGTAATTATTACTTACATCTGCTTATATATAAAATATGATTTCAAAGATAAATCTGTATAAAAAATCTATAGTTACTGTAACGTATACCTTAGATTAGATTTGTACGAGCAAGTAATAAATATAACTAACCTCGCGAGACACCACGCGAGCACACGTCATTGCGTTAAAAGATATTTATTTACCAATATTATCCCCATATATTATACATAATAGTGGATTATATATAATAAAAAATCCTACTAACCTCGCGAGACACCACGCGAACACACGTCACGTCGCACGTCGCACGATTTAACACACGCGAAACTCGCCAAACTCGCCGCGATCTCGCGATCGCCGTCAATCTCGACCGCGCCAGCCAATCACGCACGCGGAAAAGCGGCAACACTACGTGCGAGATATTCGACTCGCAAAGCTCACTTCTCGGTCCAAATGGATTTTTAAACTTTCCGGAGCAAGGATTGCTCTATAGGACAGTGAAAACCGCATCCGTCCAGTAGTTTCAGAAAAAATCGTAGACATACCCACATACATCATGCTCGCCGAATTGAGAACCTCCTTTCTGAAGTCGGTTAAAAACAAATTATATTTAATTTTTTATCATGAAATTAAATTTTACACGTGATTTTTATGTCACATAGAAATTTAATCTATTAAAAAGAAATAGAAGAAACAATTAAAATTTTAAAAATTGCTCAGAAATTTAAAAAAAAGATAAAACTGACGTCAAGAAAATGCTTTTGACCAAACTTAAGACGATCTTGTATATAAGATCCGACTATGAATACCGCCCATAATCCTTCCTTGAGAAATGAGGATTCCTTGGTCGGTATTCATCATATAATCGGTTCTTATATTTAAGACCGTTTTAAATACAATCTTAAGATATTATGAATCAATCACAGAGCCGTATTAGCATAGATATAGACAAGGATAACACCTACATTGCACGCACACATACGCACGAATCGTCATATACACTGTACTCTTATATTAGACTTCTAATCTCGATTTTGAAGATTCATCGATATTTTTCTTGTTGTGCAATTCAAAGAAACTCGTTTCCACGTTCATATCAATGATATATCTCTTATATGAAGCACATCTTGTGATGAGTTGATGGCAATCGCTGCAACTCGAGACACCATATTAGGATAAAAGTAGGTAAGGAAATCTGTAATTCCGTAATTTTTTCTCGTTTTCTATATAAAATCGAAGTTTTCTTGAATCATTAATGTATGTAATGCAATTATGGAGAAGCATTTTTAATTTCGTCAAATCAATACCACGTTACATAAGTAGAAAAAGAATGGTAGTTTTATCGGTAAAACAGACGTCTCCAGCATCCCCTTAATAATCTTAAAGTCCCGAGAAGAATACAAATAAAGTCTTGGAGTTCACAATTTAAGTGGGACTGACTTTGATTCGATGTTGCATATATGTACACTGACCAGCAGGAATACCTGGACATTTTGATATTTGACATCTATACATATATGTGTTTCGTAAGCATATGTGTCCAGGCATTCCTGCCGATGAGTATACATGTATGTATACATATATGAATTGAATTTAAATCGTTTCTTAGTATAAATTATCAGATGTAACACATCAATTTTATTAGTAATAGTAATTTACTTACAATTTTTATCAATCATATAATCTTATTTTCTTTATTTTATAATTTATATTTTTTATATAATATATTATTCATACAATTTTATGTGTGTGTGTGTGTGTGTGTGTGTGCGCTATTCTTTTTATTACAATAAACAAAATTACCTCAAAACTTAGTATATGTATTTAAGAACAAAAGTTGTCGTTTATTACATTATTTCATTAAAATAAAAAATATTTAATGGCATATACTATTTCTAACGGAAAAGTTTAATCGTAAAATAGATGTTTTTTATAATATTTAATATATAAATCTAGATTTTAAACAACTGAATTGTGTCGTGTCTCTGTATACAGAATCCTAGCATCAACAGCTGAACAGTTTAACAGCTTCATGCGTCTGTGATTGAGAAAAAAAATCTAATAATACCATCTGTATACCAGCCCAATATAATGCAACATATATACGGATATGTATATACATTTTAGATAAAAACGATCAATAAACTTTTATAAAACAATATTCTTCGAAATAATACAAGCAATAATAATTTTTATTATTACCTCTCCATATATCTTAAATGTGCATTTCTTCTAACTCCATATTTGTAATGCCATCAACCTTTCGCGCTTATTGAATATTTGCACCATGAGCACCAATAGCTAGTCCCATCAGATCTTCTCGAACATTAAATTCATCGGTATATCTAAAAT